ACGAATAATCGTGCATGGCGAATGAGCTATCAAGGTGCTCAGTGGATTGTGAGAAGTTACAACTTCAGTTCTGTGGAAATGTAAAGCATTACACAAGTGAAGATGCCGAACGTTATACGTTGAGCGAATCTCTCTAACCCACGTTAGGATTATCCACCAAATGCAACGGTTCCCTCTGCCGCATCGCTTGGAAACGGAACATCCACTAGAATTGTGTGTGAAGTCCGTGGTATTCCTGGCGAGTGCCGTTAGGTCAGCCAAATAAGAATTTTAACGTGCCACATGGTACTGTGATATCACGTGACCCAACGATGTATTTCGAATTGAGTTGAAGTGTATCAGCATGAAGTCTGGCTTTGTTTCCGAATAATCTCGTGAATTGAGTGCTCTGCATCTTGAAAGACGACTATGGCAAGCGCGTGCATTCAGATCGGAAGAATCGCTTGTAAATGATGTATAAGCTGACGGTGGAGTATTTTCTAATGGTGTGAAATTCACGAGGTCGTAGTGGGGTACATCGTGTGCCCATCACTTACGGACTCAGATGTTTTCTGAACCGTTCCTGATATAATGCCTCGTGCTGATATGTATTGTTTCTAGACGAACATATTTGAATTCGTGAATACAGCCGTCACCATGAATCGCGGCACTCAGATAACGATGAAAAGATTATTTTCAACATCTCAAAGGATGCTCGCGGAAGCGGCAGGAGAGCATGCAGGTGACCTATGACGTTTCTATCTTCGTGTGCTCGAAATTGACATTAACTTGTTAATAGGTGGCATGGACCTTTGGAGGAAGTTGACATTCTTCGGTGCTTTCCCAGTCATTGCTCTTTGTGCTGTTAAAACTTATTTGGACGTCACTCAGCACCCGCACGAACCTCCGGAGTTCATCAAGTATGATCATCTCAGAATCAGGACTAAGGTTCGTGTTTCGATTCAGATTTATGATTTCCCCGCATGTAATAATAAATCGTTTCTCGTGCAGCGATTCCCGTGGGGTGATGGAAATCATTCTTTCTTTCACAACCCACACGCCAACGCGCTTCCCGACGGCTATGAGCATTCTGAGGAACATCATTGAGAAGATTCATCTCGTTTTCGTAGTGAAAGCTACTGGAAGGGATTGCGCGGTTATCCAGCGTTTTAGGTGCAATGCGTGGTCATGATATTCGATTTACTTCATGTAGGTTCACTCCTTTGTCATTTCAGTTTCGGAATAAATA